TCTCGACTGGGTCACTGCAGGAGAGGACACAGCGTCACCAAGGGGGACAACACCACAGGGGGATTGGGGGGGGAGAGATAGAGGATACAGAGCCCTCAGTGGGTGTATGTAAATACGATAAGAGTGAAGACAGCAGAGGGTTAAGGGAGGATACAGTTCTTATGCACTTACAGTAAACCACACTGCAACTCATTTTATCTCTACTGTAAATCTTCAGTTTGTTTTAGTATCGTGCCTCTCCAGAATTTCCCCAAAAGCTCAATGTCAGCAGCAAAATATTTAGTGTGACAGATGTGTCAGAGCGCATAACATTTTTGTGACATGCCTTTACAAATTCCTCCCTGGATTCTCGATTTGTCTACAAAATGAGCCAATTTAAAATTGTGAGTGTCAACAAAACACATGGACACACCGTCAGTGAGAACCTCTAAGGCCAGAGTTAGGATATAAACTAAATGAAGGGATATTTTTCCATCTACAAGTCCAGTATAGCTCCTGTCTGTCATTTGGAATGAACACTGAATATACAAAGAGCATTGAATCGCAGTCTTTCTTCCAGGTGTAAACAAAGGAGTCGACTCGCCACTGAAATCCAGAGGACAGGATTTGAATCTGTTATCACCTGAAGCTGACTGACAGGATTTTAATAAAAGGGCTCACACGAGAAAACAAATACATCTGCACTGATGTTTTCTGATATTGTTAAATGTGTCAGAGCTCATTTTTTCTCCCCATTAGAATAAGATGAACTATTAGAGTGAGACCTATATTTTACATTATGATAAACTGAGAAACAAAGAGCCCCAAGCCCATCTGCACATGCACAGAGTCCAATAACACTGACAGTTTATCCTCACTGCTGTAGTATTATTCTGTGAAGACCTTATACACAGTCAAGTATAAATTGGGACTTTAAGAAAATAAGTAAGGAAAAGTTCTCCTCCTAAAGTTATGGGTGAGGAAACAAACATATGTTGAATTCTTCTTTCCACAAACTGCATCTACAGATTCTTGCTAAAGTAAACAGACCTTTTGACTTTTTGTACATTTGTTATGCACACAGCTCAAACTAAAGAAAACCAATAACAAAAGAAAAGTCACAAATACTTTATTAAATAACTGAGTAATGTGGCAAAACATTCAAAATGTCAAGGGTCTCCAAGACACTGTAGGTGATTAGCTAATGAGAATCTTGTTACGTAACATTTAGGAGCATGTCAATCACGTCATTTCAAGCCCAAGCAAGTGATGGAGACTTAATGGAAGCAAAACTTTACGTATGCTAAAACGCCACAAACTCTGTATTGAAGTAATTGAAGATATAAGTGATCAGAATGAAATGCACATCATGACTAAATACTTTCACTAAACCAAAAATAAAACAAATATGAGCTTGAGAATGTAGTTTAATTTAGTTTATGAATGATGGCTTTGATACTATGGGATGCTTGATTCATTGTTTATTATTTCAGATAATATGAGATCACATTTATGAGTTAGAAACCCAGCTTCTATCAGGATGAAGCATTCATCCTGAGGTGAACGTTTTCATCCAACACTGACGTACAAACAGCAAAACAGGAAACCCTACATATATTGTAATGTGATTAAGATACAGTTTCAGTCAGTCAACACAGACATCACTATATGTTCCCCTGTAAAGTGTCGTATGTCTATAATGTCTGTGTCTTACAAAAGAAGGGTTTGACAAAAAAATAGGTAGTAGAAAATCCTCATTTCCTCAGAGAGTGATTAAAGCTCAGTCGAGCCTCTTCCAGACACACTGACGAGCAAATCTGTGTCTCCTGTTACTCCCCCCCCCACCTCCCTGTTCTCGCTCTCATCTCATCTCTCCCTTCGATTGAAGATCAGATTGGGTGTTCGGTTTTCCTCTAAATCCAATATGCCAGGGCTGGTTCTGAGTGAGCGACTGGTGTAGGCGATAACACTTACCGGCGTTGAATATTGCGCCGACCTGGAAGGAGAGCTCAGAGTCGTGTTCAGCCTCACATGGGTACACTGCCTTGGCTTTCCTGCTGGTGACACTGAAAAATGAAGGCAATCAGTGAGTTGGCGGAGCTTTGGGGAGGATTACCGCACAGTTCAATCTAAGCCCGGGGGCCTGTTTGTTCATTCACTCACTGAAACAGCAGAAACGGGCCGGGTTGGAAAACAAGCAAAAGTACTAGGAGAAGAGATGGGCCGCTACACACTGTTGTCTTGTCTCCAGTCTAGTAGTGAGCGAGTCAAAACACACCCACATGCGCCTGTGTGCATGCACAGATACAAAATGATGCAGTGTTGTTTGTAGTGGGTTTTGTACAGAAAAAAGGCAGCCACACATCAGGTCCACACACAGCAGACAACCATCTATGGTGAGATAATTAAAAAGTGGTGGCACAACTAAGTCATTTTGCTTACAAACAGAGGTAGAATAGTAATCTCCCTTCACTGTGCTTCAGCCTTTAAATTCACATTCATGAGCTTAAAAGCTGAATTTTAAATCCGTTTGATGTAAATTTGAAGCGGGTGCTGTCCAAGAAACCATATTCATGCCTCTGCAGGTTAGCAAAGAGCCACATTTATGCCAGTTTGTTCCCAAAAACATAAAAAACTGTTTCCACATAAAGGTTGTTTTGCCCACCATTGCAAACTGTTATCGCGGATACCAGCAATGTTACCATGTAGAAAATGTGCCTTCAACACACGATGCCCTGATAAATATTTCATATTCTTTCTGCAGGATGAGAGAGGAGAAAGAAGATATACAAACTGAAAAAAGTTTGTGGTCACACAGTTGTCAATACAACAATGTGCAGACGACTCCCTGAATACAGAATATTGTAAGAATGCACTCTTATGGAAACGCATTTGGAAAAACGAAGACTTGTATTTATATGAAAATAACATTAAAATACGTTGCAATGGCTTTGGCAGCATCTGTAGGCAATGAAAATGAGTTCATCTCTTATTCTGAAGGAAGCGGAGCAACAGTGAAATGGGAAGATTGCCCTCATAGTTCAATTCTGTTCTTCCCCAGACTTGTGTTTGTATCTGGTATTTGACAAAAAGAGAAGGTTGCTGCTCCTGATGAAGTCAATACTTGTGTTGAATTAAAATCCATCAAAGGTAAACAAAATTACAGGATGGGCAAATATGAGAAAGTGAGGGAAAATATTGATGTGCAACACTTCATGTAGATGTCAGATGAATGAGGGAAGCTGGTGATTCTGAGTGAACATGCAACACAAGATGAGCAAGTGAATTATGAAGCAAGTGAACAAAAATGGACAGTGAAAGAAGCGAGTGAGACACTTAACCAATAATAGTTAATGAAACAAATAAGAAAAAAAAAAAGCAGTTAATTGCGATCACATAATCCAGGTGAGAGGAAAACAGAAACCAAAGAGAAGGAACTCTGTCTTACCTCTCCTCTGACTTGTCTTTATCTGAGGCAGCTGTGGTAGCAGCAGCTTGACTCTCTCCAGATGCTACAGAGGTGGACCACAAAGCTGCTGCTGTGGGAGCCCTGCAGTTCAAAATCCTACTTTAGTTACCACAGATTCTGTGGTGTTTTATGCAGACTAAAAATATGGTCCTGTACAATGACCCTGAAGCAAAATAACACAAATAACTGGACACTAAGCTTCCAATTGTAAAACAGATGTTTCATCCACAATTGGTTTAATTTTAAAGGCTAGCATCCGTGATGGCACTGGGGTGCATAAATGCACACAACATGGGTAACTTGCACATCTGTGAAGGCACCGTTAATGGTATATAAACAGGTTCTGGAGCAACATACGTTGCCGTCCAGATGAAGTCTTTTTCAGGGAAGGCCTTGCTTATTTTAGCAACATAACACCACAACTAAAACTAAACTAAAGCAAATGGTTCCCAAATGCTTATCGAGTGTTAAAAGAAGAGGTGGTGCAACATAGAGGTAAACATGCCCATCCTAATTTTTTCTGAAATGTGTTGCTGGCATCAAATTTGAAATGAGTATATATTTCTAAAAAAAAAAAAAAAAAAACCCAAACTTTATCAGTTTTAACATTTGATATGTCTTTGTACAATTTTAATTCAAACACATACACCCAAACAAACAGAAAATTAAATGACTGTCCCCATCATTACAATCAGTGTATATAACAACGTACTGATGTACAGAGTTTGAATAAAGATAACATAAATCTACTTTCTCCCATTCACACAACATTCACAGTTTGAGGAATATGAAAATGATATGAACCGAAGAAAGTCTGTCTATATTTCAGGAGCACTGAAGCTGCTCGAGTCTTGCAGTTGACCCACTTTATGCTATTGTTTTCCCATGAATGCCACCTACTGTATATTTTACATGTACTGTACATTCACAGCCTAATACATATTGCTTTTGTAAATGTAATAAACTATAATGCTCCAACACTTTATCTGATCCAGCAGCAGCTGTGCTGTACACTGGCTGTTGTCAGGGCCAACCTACAGGACAGAAGCAGGGGTCCTGGTAAAGGCAGAGTGCAGAAGGAGGAGAACTGGAGTCTCAGCCAGGCATCCCTCTGTGTTCCATGCCTGCCCCAGGGCCAGTGCTAATACAGCACATAATGAGCAAATTGCTCCTAGCTGCCGCTCCCATAGAGACGTTAATAAAGGCAATTAGAGGGAGCAGCTGAGGGGGGGGCTGAAGGTTGAGAGGATGCTGTGAATAGTGGTTATACTGGCATTGGTGGAGCAGAGTGAGAGATGGCCTTAAGGGGAAACATGGTAGGGGATCTAATGTGGTCATAGGTGGAGGTGAACACACAATACTGGCTGGGTTCACGCTTTCAGTCCCCCATCTGCATCGCTCCCTCCCTCTATGCGCTTGTCCATCCCCAGCGGCGGCTGTTCCGTTTGAGCCTGGCCTGACTGTGGGTGATTTATAACTCTGCAGCAGTGTGGGGCCACTGTGGTGCTCAGCTGCTCCACATCAGCAAGGGGGGGACAGTGCACTGCAGTGCAGCAAATCCACTCATTAACCTGAGCCCAGTCACAACTACTGTCTGCCTGGGTCACAACCAGCACAAAGGAGATCAGAGGAGCCCCAACACTTCACCCACCTGCAGGTAAACCCACTCATATATGCATAAATGCCTTCAGTAAGACAGGATTCAAAACAGAAAATGTATGCAAACACACAAACACACACACTGGTCTTGCTATAAATCTTACCCTACAGATCTAAATGCCTAACCCAACCCCTTGCCTTATCCTTAACGTAATAACTAAAACCCTAAAACCTAAAACCAACTCTTATCCTCAAACAGAGCTATCCTCACAACAATGACATCAAACTAACATTTGTTCACGCAACCACAAAAAAAGACATGCACACGTGTACAAACAAAAGAAAAGTTATCAGCACATCCATCTAACTGGGTATTTTATTTACAAGAGGATTACAGAAATCTTTGCAAATCTTTAAAATAAACACATATCTAAATAACTATGGAGTAAACAGGGAAAATCAGTGAACGCCACATGGCTGCCCTAGAAACCTGTCAAATGCACCAGGGGTAAATGGATTCATCCCAGAATTGCTTTCACAATTACAGCTAAGCCAAACCGAGGGAAATCGCTTGCCATTTCTCTTTACCAAAAATAGCAACAAGCTTTGAATTGCTCATCAGTTGTTTTACCCATCACAGGCCTAGCTAAGCTTCTCCTGTAAACATGATTAAATACAGTAAATGGGGACTCGTGTGAAAATGCTCTGTTTGCCAGGCCTGCGTGAAAATCCCCCTCCAGATGTTGGTAACAACTTTTTAAATATTTACAGGCATACACAACATAATAGCATAGAAAATATATAATTACATAAAAAGTATTATCATGACATCAAGAGCATCAAACAACATCTGCATCAAATTCAAAGTGAACTGCAACTGGAGATCTTCAGGTTTCTTATTTTAACCATCACACATGCCAGGTCAGAAGGAGGAAGAAATTCCATCAAGAGAAGGGACAGGACTGCTGCTTCTCATTACTGCAGGAATTCCACCCTGCAGCATCCAGGACTCGCTGACCCTGGCATGGAGCTAACACGGAGATGAGCAGGGTATCGACTGTCTTCTTTTAAAGGAAGAGGGCCAGCAGTGGGATTTAGTAGTGCTACCAATAGAAAGTGGGATCAAACCTACAGCCAAGCTTCCTGCCCTTCTACCGACAGTTTGGGTGGGCAGGGAATAAGCTCTGATCCACCATTTTATGATCCACAGCTGTAGGGCGGCAGGTAGGGCAGGGGAGAGGAAGAAAAAGAGATTAAAAAATGTAATCTCATTGGGTAAGACTTGGGGGAACATGCCACTGGGAGAAGCTGTGACTGAATTTATGGAGAAGAGCAAAAATGAGGCGAGACATTGAAGATGACAGAGATGATAAATCATGCCACAGTTCATAAATAGTTATTGCACTATACAGTGAATCAAGAAGCGTTTGTGTATGACCAGGCAAGATTTTGCTGGAGCTATCCTACAGGAAACGATGAAAAAATGCTGCGCGATTTTGAGCACACCAGAGCGCACAACACATTTCTAAAAGTGGCTGGAAGTAACCTAGCAATTGCCATTCCTACTGCTCATTTTGGCTAGGCTTGTAGCCGAATCCCTGGGTTCCAGGCCAGAGAGGTGCTGTGTTAACAGGTCTCCACCATCTCACATGCTAAGATTTATTAGTGAACACAGCCAGGGCGACACCCTGTGACATATGGCACAGGTCTTCATAAAGGGATGGGGGATGCAGCTATAAGGGTAAACAAGATGAATATCTCTCCAATGTCAATACGATTTACACGGCCAACGCACGGCCACCTGTCTCCCAAACAAATAAGAGCTGAGATTTACGACCTCCTCCTGGTTGCTCCTTCCGTCCTCCAACATGATGCCACAAACGTGGGAAAGCACAATAAAAAAACAAACAAACAAACAAACAAACATGCCCACAGGAAAAAAAAAAAAAAGGAATTGGTTATGTAAGTAATAGGAGCCTTGTCTGTCTGATCCTGCAACTTACTGTAGCTTGATACAAACATGCCTACACACACAAGCGAGAACACACCCACAGAGGTCAGTGAGAGAGGAATCGCATTGTCTTCTGTCAAGTAGTGAGGTGGGTTTGTTTTTACTTTACATCTCTTTTCAGCTGATGGAGAAACAGAAGGGGACAGTGGATGCAAAAAAAAAAAAAAAAAGTCCGTTTCAAGGTGAATGCGTAGAGATGACACAGCAGAGAGCCGAACATCTGCAGCATAACCCAATAATTCATCTCTCACATCAGCATTCAAGACAAGTCATGGGCTGGAAACAACAAAACAAGTACCAAGGACTCAGAAACTGAGGATAGAGGATAAGTTTGACAGAAGCATGGCAAGGCATCAAACTATTAAATCATTTTCCATCTAGTGCAAAGAGAGAAAGAAGTAAAACTAGTAGTTGACTTTTGACTAATAGCATAAATTAGGGTTGACACTAAAAATCTATTTCACCATTGAATGATCCTGTGTCATTTTTGATTAAGTCAAACTATTTAGTGTATAGAACATCAAAAGTAATGACTAATGATGACAAAAATGATTCACCTAGGAATTGTGATGCTTATTTTCTATGAGTCCATTCACAATGTCCAAAAATTGATTCGGGTTTGTTTTTCCTTGCTAAATATGCTTTTCACCAGAGTGGACAAGACAGAACTGAATCAATAGCGCCCAGAGACAAATATTAACATTTACAATTTCAAAAATGAAGTCACTACACAGATAACACTAGCTGCAGTAGTGGTAAAATTTCCAAAGACTCCCGCAGGTAATAAAACTAGTAATAATACTTTTAACATTGGTTACCTGTGAATAAAACTGACTGCTGCACCGCTTCTTTTTCTTATTGTTATTATTAGTAATGAGTGTCTAGAGTCTGATCTGTCATCCTGGGATTAGCTTGCAGGAACCATTCATGAAAAAGTAACTTACCTTAAGACCCCAGTCAGACCTACATAAACGTGAGTTTCATCTGTGATCCATACAGTATCTGGGTATATGCAGGAATTATGAAATTAAATTCAATACCTTTTAAGGCCTTCTCAATATATTTGAGTTATACTAACCGGCTACATCAGCAACACACCTTTAATTCATATTTACTATACACTGACCGACTTTGAGGTCAGCAGAAGCAGCGGTTGTAGAAGCTTCAGTGGCAGCACTAGGTAGTGTTGTAGCTGGTGTAGCTGATTTAGCACAGAAATTCACAACAGACAGTTGCTGTCTACCGTTCATATCAGATTTGTGGGCCTGGATAGCAGTGATCCCCCATTGGGGATGCAACTGCTTTCTTGCACACTGAACATTACACCTGCCGGTTATTCTCAGTGATGGGCCTGGCTCAAACTCATTGTCCTTCAACCGCTTGTCTGAGAACGTCCATTTCCCCATTACATTTGTTAGTTTAACACAGAGTTGTTTAAATGACAGTAGTTGGTGGGGCTGATGTCACTGACCTGCACCATTGTGTCTATAAAAAAAGTCAACAAACTCTTTTGTTCACATGGGAAAATAGCTACCACATTTAATGCCTCTTAAAATTGCAATTAAGACATCATAGTACCTAATAGCCTTAATTATTGTTAATACTTTTTAAGACCCTGTGGACACCCTGAATATACACGGTTCATATTTGATGTACACCCTGCATTTCTCATTTATGAATTCTATTTTTCTTTACTTGCCACACAACAAATACCTGCACTGCGAGTGGTGCAGTCACATGCTGTTTGGGACACAGTGACGCACTCACCTAGAGGGGTTGCCTGAGCTGAGGTTGGTGTTGGGTGTGGCATGCTCACTCCTCTCTGTAGGCATCTCTGAGGCCGAGGCTGATGACGACTGGGATGATACAGACTCATTGCTGCCCAGTGATGTCTCATCAGCAGCTAGGCTGGAATTATCTCCCACTGGTGACACTTTGCAAAAAAACAGCGTTTGTTTCAATTAATTACATCTTTTCAATAACTTTATTCTACCGTAAAATACTCGGCATATTCAAATTTTCTGGTGGCAGCTTACCCGATAAAACAGTTGAATAATTTATCAACACGAAAGGCAATGCTACATCAACAGGAGACTTTTTGAAATCAAACTGCTGTCAGAACAGCTGCGACTTACAACCAAGTGTGTATTGTTCATAACAATACACTACACAAAAATACACTGCAGTCACAGACAGGAAGTTAAGAAACACAAGGGAGATCCAAGACCTTTTTATTTCAGCTTTACTGACAGTAAAGCTCTTGCTTCTGGGAGACTGAAGAGGCATGCAAGGAACTGTTACTTTAAAAAAAAAAAAAAAGCAGTCTGTTTGGACAATTTTTTTTCTTTTTCTCCAATGAACGCACATCAAAGCACATAAACCAAAAGCTCACAGTTAATTAAGACTGAACAGGAATGGTGCTGAGCTTAAGCCTAACTATTACAGAAGGTAAAATTAATATTTACCTCCTACAGTGCCCATATTATTACTAGCTTTATCTATCCTGCAGTTGGTTTATCATATTTCTTTTTTCAACTGTGACTTTTATGAAATTAAACCCATCAATATAAAAGCCCTTCACATCCACACAGGTGTTTTCAGTTAGGATTAATTAGACTCCACCTCAGGTTGAATATGGGTGGCCAGTGCTGGGTATTACACCATGTGAGGTCACCAAATTTCATGAACCAATAAAAATAATGAACATATAATTGTCTTACTCTTACAGGTACAACAGGAGGGGGATGGAGAGGTATTTCAAGAATAGCCTGTACACACAGTCATCAGAAAGCAGTGTTAAAGCAGCATTTGTTAATATATTATTTCATTTTGTTCTGTGAATTTTAGTTTGTCTTTTTTTGAAGCACTTTCCAGCTCTTGGTCACATCTATTACCATTCCAATACTTTTATGTAATGTTATTTTTAAAATGTGAAGCATTCCTCTCATTCACTGTTAAGCCTCTGCAAACATTGTTAATTTGTCACGCTACATCTGGTTTTGGAGGGGAAAAAAAATTAAGTTCAATATTTTAGCACATTTTAAAATGTAAAGTGGCTGTAATCAATATTTTTTATAATCCAATGGATCAAATGAGGATGAAAAAAAAAAAAAAAAAAAAAAAAAGAATCTACAAGGGGTCATTTGTAGCAATGAAGCTACAGAGAATTATCACTTCAATCTGCAGCTCTTGTTCGCGTTACAGAGCTTTATAGTGAGTTTCATCTCACTGTCTACTGTTTTTGGTTCTGTCTCACCGCCCTGGCAGCATTGTCTTTGGCCGCAGCAGTCAGCCGTTTTCAGTAAATATAGCCTATAAGCTCACCAAACAGTACCAAACAGCAAAGAGATGAAGTCAGCAGCTAACTAGAGAACATACTGTAGTGGGATATGCAGCAGCGCAAGAGCCAAACAGGAGTCGGTAGAGACCAAAATCCGCTAAAGGAGGGTGAAAGCTGGTCCTACATTTGCCAGGTGAGCGCAAAGATGAAGTGAATGATAATGCTGCTTCATTAATGCTGAAAGTGCAAATACACATCTGTTTGCCATTCCATCTTACTGTAAAAGGTGATGACACGTCTTGTTTCTGCTTTCTAAAGGTGGCCAAAAAAATTCTGTTAATCCAGGTTTAAGTACACCAGTAACAAATCAACTAGTAGCCTGTAATAATCTCCTGAGAGCTATGATTTTCTGGCCCTTTACTCCTACAGAGTACCTGTTAGAAAGTATGCTAACACAAGCGTATTAATGGGCTTTCCTACACATGCTGTCACGTCAGGAGGGATATCAGACACATGCAGCATCATAAGAGTCACATGCATACAGTACATACAGTGGGTACGGAAAGTATTCAGACCCCGTTAAATTTTTCACTCTTTGTTATATTGCAGCCATATGCTAAAATCATTTAAGTTCATTTTTTTTCCTCATTAATGTACACACAGCACCCCATATTGACAGAAAAACACAGAATGTTTGACATTTTTGCAGATTTATTAAAACAGAAAAACTGAAATATCACATGGTCATAAGTATTCCTTTAAAAGTTTAACGGGGTCTGAATACTTTCCGTACCCACTGTACACTCTTCTCTCTTTCTCACTGCATCATCAACCTGCTTTTAACCTGTGAAAGCTAAAACAATTTTAAATGGATTATGGGGGACCCATATAAAAGACACAAAGGTTAAAAATGATTATGCTTTTCATCCCTGATATTAAAATACTCCACAGTAAACCTGGCTCAAGGGAGGCAAAGAGAGACAACCTGGCAAGCAGATTTATACTCCCTTGATATTGTGGAGGGGAAAGGATTTGACCATAATTTTCACTTTTATTGGTTCTGTTTTAGTGGTGTTGATTCAACTGTGGTGCTCCTGAAGTGTGTTCCATTATATAGAGGTGTTTTTATTTATCTAATGTGATGTACCCAACAGCCTGGCAACTGGGTGGACGCAATGTCAACATGAGAGAAAGCAGCAGTGCCAAATACTTTGTGTTTACATATGAAACCCATTATATCATCTTTGACATTTGTTAAACATATTTTGCAGGATAAATTGTTTGTTCTGTTCATTTGTGTGCACTAATAGTTCAAAAACAGCTATTAATACTTTGTGCAAACATTTATTTAAAAGCATGCTATTTTAATTAGCATGTATAAATTATCAAAAAATGTACCCAAGATACCCACTGGGCTTTGTAAATAAATGAATGGGATACTTTCTCGATCACTGAAGTACTTTAGATCTATAAAGAGAGGATCAGTTTAATTTCTACAGCACAAAAATCATATTGCTAAAGGTAGGACCACACTTAATGACTGCTGCACCGATTATAAATTGGATTAGGGTGTGGAATAACCTCAAGAGCCATTCACACCAGACGTCATAAGAATATGGCTGAGTTGAAGCAGTTCTTTAGGGAAAAATGGTCCAAAATTCCTCCTGAACACTGTGCGAGTCTAGCCCACAGCTACAGGAGGCGCTTGCTTGAGGGTATTGCTGACAAAGGTGGTTCAACCAGTTATTAGACACTGTTGCCATCCCTTTTCACCATTACTTTGTATGTTTAATGGGTGTGTTCAATAAAGACAAGAAAGATCATGACCGTTTGTGTTTTATCAGCTTGGAAATACTGTGTCTGTTGATATGTGTGACTTTGCTGAAGATCAGATCATATTTCATGACCAATTTAGGCAGAAAACCAGGCAATTGTAAATAGTGCCCTTACCTTTTCTTACAACTGTATTCAAAGGTGTAAAATGATATGGGAGCATGTCTCTTACCATTCTGAATGTCTAGAGACTGTGGATTGTAGACAGCTAGGGGCCGATTCTGTCGATTCAGCTTCTTGGACTGCCTCGTGGGAGCAGAGACTACTTGGGCAACAGATGACAGAAGGCACGACTCGGGAGCATCTGCAAAGATCTGAATACACAGTATGAGTAAGTCTCTATCAAGACAAATGCACAAACTCAGAGTGTTGAGCAGCAGCAGCATGTCTTCAACTGACCACACTTTAGTGGACAGGCTTTGAAACTCAAGCTTTATGTAGAGGTAGATGAATGAAAAGGCCCATTTGAAAGCACAGCATGTGCTCCTAGGGAAAGGCGAGCAGCTCGCTGATTAGCCCCTATAAACTGCATGTGAGAAGATTTTGTTTGTGCCAAAATAAACAAGAGCAGCTCCACATGCAGTGCAATCACATCCCATCCTGAAATGTGGGGCTAAGTTAAGGTGACATTTCTCCTCAGAGAAACTGACCCACTCTCAAAAAATGAAGACTAAAAGCACTGCTTGGGCTCAAGGAGCACTGGCTAAGCAGTGCAGCATGTTTACACTGGGCTGTGTTTACATATAAACTTCAGATGCAGAGTTAAAAGAGAATAGGGCTGCAGAGGAGAGGAAGTCTCAGAAGAGCCTGTGAAAGGATCACAGACGTAGAGAGGAGGGAGGTAGGGAAGGGAGGGGAGAAAGAGAGAAAGTGGCAGAGAAAGTGAGAGCGACTGTGAACAGGAGAGGCAGACAGAGGAGGGGGCATGAGAGTGAAAGTTTGTGAGAGAAAGGCAGATAGAAAAAGTGAGAAATCTGATATGGCTGAGAGTTTCTGCTGCCTCACTCTCCTTCTCGCCTCGCTCTGCAGATGGAGGTGAATGTAAAACAGAGTCTACTGCTGGTATCTGGGGGTATCAACAGTCTGGAGTGGGACTCAGCTGTAAGGAAAGTTGATGCCTGTCTGTCTGCTCAACTTTTCCCCTGCTCTAACATGCTGTACTTTCCAAAATGCTTTTGTTGAATTCTAACACTACATCCTTTATCACCTGGACAGTGTTGGATACCTCTGGGCAGTCTCCAACACTAGCAGTATACACTGTGCCGCTGGTGTTGTTTTAGCACATTTGTATACCCCTGTTGGTGTTCATTCTACCCCTGTATTCTCTCAGACCGCATTTTAGTTTCGTGAGCATTGGTGGACATATTATTCACAAACACAAAGAGCTCACGGTTTTGTGACTTTACATAAAGTACAGTGCTGCTCCAAACAGATTAGAAAACTAATCTCAAACCTTTTTTCCTCTTTTGACGCAGAGTATTATCCCCCTTTGAGGATTGACACCGATTAATGACATTCTGGGGGAGATTACAAGATCCCATAAACTTCAGGTTATGAAATAACTCAAACAAATAATGGCTTTAGGCAGGCACAGGACCTTCCAAAAATAATAAAGGGTATATGATAACCTACAGAATAATCAACCTACATAAAATAAAGCGAATAGCTCTTCTCTGTGTTTAATCCTGGTATATGCACTTGGGGCTCCCCCTGTTGGCCAGATCCAGCCATTCTGGAAATTAAACTGCTGTCAAACTCCTCTGTACTTTAATATCTGGGTGAAGGGTATGCTTTCCCCATGAGTTTAAGTTAAATGTGGTACACTCATCATTATCTGAGAACTTTATTTCTGCTCATTATTTTGTGTAGCAAGTAATAAATACAACATGCATATAACCAACAGACCAAAATGTACCAATTATTTAACAAGATGCATTTTTATTGCTAGAACCTTTGCTCAAAGCAGTGGATTTTAAGGTGGATCAATAAGATTTATATGTGAATATACACAAGTCTGAACTGCCTTAATAAAGAAGACCTACAGAAGAGAAGAGCACCACATCCATTTTGAGACTCTGCACAAATAAAATTGTGGTGTCTAGGTACAGTGCAGTAGGTGCACTTCTCTGCCAACAGAAACTGCCAACTTGAAACTAAAAGCAAAATACAAAACTTCAAAACAATAGTGGGAAAGCGCTCTGTGCCCAGAAAGCAGGACTTAAAAACACTAGGTCTTATGCTTCGCTTGCACATTTATTATCCTTCAGTATCAAGTAATTACACGCCACCCAGGTTGGAAAACACAAAGGTGCTGTATGCAGCTTACTGATGTCATGTTCATCAGATTTCAGTCAGTGCTATCGTTGTGCCTTGTGTTGCCAAGTGCAGACTGCATTTTGTAAAGAGTTGCGGATGGCAAGGGAAAACACAATTATACACAAAAAGTTGCAATAACAGAATGTACAGTCAATGCAGTTACCAATCAAAAACAGACAATTTGGGAGAAAGAATCTAGTACAGAAAAAGCTTTCTCCATTCTTATTGGCACAGTGCTAATTACTTCCACTGGAAGATACAGTGCTATTTGAAGGCACTTCCACTTTTTAGGGAGTGCTCAGTTTCGAGTGCATTACTTTGTCATTGTGCAGGTGATAATGTGTCTGGTAACTCCCATGTTTGTGTGTTACCTTTTCATGGTGTTCAATGAGGATTTCCACCACAATGTTCTGGAACTTGAGATCCATGATGGCAGCGACGGTCTCCTCCTGTGGCCTCATTAATGTGGGGCCAAACACCACGCCCAGGTTGGCCACAGTCATCAGATTCTGTGGGCTGTGGGCTGCCACACTGAAGAAGATAACAATTTGGATTATAAACATGTTACTCAGAATTACTGAGTCTACTTCACTGGCAAGGAGGGAAAACGCAACTATAAAACGTTATATAAGCAAAAACCCTCTGACATACAATACAGGTTTTCACCCTCACAAAGGTTTAACAGAGTCCGATGTAGCTCGTATTGTCTTTAATTTAGTTAGTAGACAATGGCCTAAACAATGGCCGCACTCATTGAATATATGGCAGATGTTAGGTAAACTTGTGTGTAAAGGTTAATGCTATATTTCATAAATATGTTAGCAGCTCGTGGCTCAAGAGCGGCTCCATCTACTAATCACATGGTTGGTGGCTCAATCTCCAACTCCATATTTCAAAGTGTCTTTGGGAAAGAGAGTGAACCTAAATTATTCCAGATGCGACTGTAGTTCCTTGCATGGTAGCTTGCTGCTACAGGTGTGTGAGTGTGTACAGTATGTGAATGAAAACTGCTAATTGTAATGCACACTGAAAACAAAATAAAGATAAAACCCATTTATGCTCCTAATAGTTACACACATGCCACTGAAGAGCTTTTACTGACATATTCCAAAGACCACTATGACTGTCTGAAAGTAGCTGTTGTGATCATATTAACAACACTGAAACAGAAACAGGTCAGGGCTGCTCTACCTCATAAACTGAGGAAGAATCACTGCTTTGTAAAATGTTATCTACATTCACGTAGAAACTGGAGCACCTTTAGTAGATGAAACTTTATCTTTCTGTAGGTCAGAAAAAAGTGAAGAAACCCCTTTATTTGAAGAAGACGTTATGCAGACAGGTGAAGCGATTTCACACTCAAAATATGACGCGTGATGTCTCTGCAGAGACATTTTAAATAGCTTCAAAGGATGCCTTTGAAGACAAAAACACTGGTGACAACTCATTTTTATAACATCTCTGAGACCATTTCAGATACGAGTGTGAAATTCTGGCTTTGCTATCTTCCCCTGCAGGACATGCACACACACCACCTTCAGAAAAACATTTGAGTCTCTCCAGTCTAGAGAATTTCACGCTGGATAATCCAAATTCAATTTCAATAGTGCTGCCTTTTTACCAGAGACTGATTCTGCAGTGGGCTTCTATGAAATAAGATCCACCAGACTTTCATTGCCACAGGGAAGAGGGATTATTTACTTATCTTCAATTTGCTCATATTTAGTTTATAAGGAAGCCTGCTGAGGTAAAATCTTGTAATGTTTGCTAACATTATTTCTAAAATCTTTCTTCCTATCTAATCTCACAAATGGAGTGATGCCCAATAGTGGTCCATCCAGTAATAGTCTCGAGAGAGGGCTTAATTTGAGCAGCCCATTTAATTTCACTTCACTGATGGGCTGCAGAACAGTGTGCTGAACAGGTACAGTAGGCTATACAATTCTCCTTCAGCAATTTATATATGCACCAAAATGACCTAGGAAAAGGCAAAAAAAAAAAAAAAAAAAAAAAAAAAAAAAAAAAAAAAAAAAAAAAAAATGTTCAGATGCCAGGGGCGTCAATTCTCTTACAGAGCAGTCAGAGCAGACAGAGTAGACAGAGAAGAGATGGAGTGACAGCAGGGAAGGGGGAGTGAAGAGAGTGGGAGTGAGGGAGAGAAAAAGCATGTGGAGTGAGAATGAGGAGACAGACAGGAAGAGCAGAAAGAGAGAAGTGAGAGAGAGAGAGGGGGTGGAGAAGGTGAACTATGACCACTCACTTGGCCAGATGCTTCATAAGCAGCCCGAGGACTTGTCGATTCCTCTCCGGTAGTTTGTGGACTAGGCAGTGGATGGCTTGGATGCGAGTCTCTGGACTATCTCCCTCTGTAGAAAGACAGAAGCAGTCAGGTGCTCACATTAAACTACAAGGTTCGCTCTGTGCTCCTCAGGGGGGAAACGAGCCAAGACGTCTGAGGCTGAACACTGAGCAAAAGTTACTGAGGCCTTTAAAGACACAAACATCAGAGGCTATCACTCTCACATATAAGAGGATAAGCATTAAGGATCATACATTCTAGTTTCAATAAGTGAAGAAGAGGTGTGATGGTGATATATAGTCTGAAGCGTCCCAGAATTTGGCAGGGGGGACAACTATGCTGGCGGAGGAGATAGCTTTACGTTACTGTCGCTACCATATAAATGGGTTGTGTTAAAGCCCCCAAGATCATCTCTTAAACATTTCCTCACACATGGGCATCTGACCGCCCACACACACACACACACACACACACACACACACACACACACACACACACGCAAACAGAATATCATTACTATGGGAACAACAAGAATTTAAACATGGAAGAAGCTTCTTTTGGATGCTGTCATCCATCAGAAAAAATAAATAAATTTCATTGCTAATCCAACCCCAACCCCCCCGTTAAGAGGGCATTGCAAGTGCCTGATAAAAATGTCAAACTAATCCAATTATAGCACTTGTTGTAATAAGATTCAAGTTTGGTTTGAAAACATTTAATACAGAAATAATGTTAAGATGGGGGGGGGTGTCAGTGGACCATTTGAGGGCATGCAAATGACAGCATATTATAATTTAAAACCAGCTACCTCTAATATTTAATGGCTCATTCGGGCATATTTAGTCACACGTTAAGACAGATTATATATAAATAAGCTCACATGGGCTTCTTGAATCGCTAATAAATGACAGAAAGACACTGTTGTAAAACAGAAGCATATAAGCCAAAGTCAGCTGAAAGGTTCTTTGGTTATCAGATTGTGGGATTTACCACTGCACACAGTGTAACATTATGTCATGTCAAACCTGTTCCTGTGTTTCCTGCCCATATCTACACCGTCACTCTTTAATTACAATGAAACACATTATGGTCATTCAAAGAACACTGTATTTAAGTGTCTAAAGAATTTGGAGGGTTCTGATGCATCATAATTTGCATTCATGTCACATGTAGACCCTCACTTTTCACACTCTGAATGCTTTGCACTCAAGAGCAGCTGACTTTCCCTCACTTAAAACAGGGGAAAAAATGGTTCAGAAAAAGTTAGTAAAAGGTCATTTAAACTGTTTTCCCTTAACTGCATATTTTCAATAACTCACTGAAGAACAACAAACTATTAGCAGCTAAACTGATTTATACTGTTATAAGATGTGGTCAAACTTACTCGCAGGGCTGATGAAATCTTTATACAGTCCGTACGTCATCAGCGGCTCGGGAAGGCTCCTTCACAGAGACAAAGGGGTTGGATGGAGAAGGAGAGTGAGCGAGGAGGGACAGAAATAGTCTACACAGTATTTTATAGGGTGTGCACCCAGTAATGATTAATAGGGCCATGCTAGGGGATGGAATTAGATGGTACACGTGTTGAGATAACCAAGTTCATCTGAAGGTACTTTCACACTGCAGCTGGCCAGTGACCAGAAGTACTTAGCCTCAGAGGAAACCAAGGAGATCGACCCTGCTTTATTTCAGCAGGCCAGACACAAAGTAAAAGCCAAGTCAGATCAGCACTCAGCATGGCTTGATACGTTATCTTAACCAGTGTTTATAAATTTGTAAAAAATTTAATAAGTATCACCTGAACAAATACAGTAGAGCTTTACTTTGAGTATAAGGGATTCCCACAACCCATTACATCAAACTGCTACCAGGAAACTGTCAAAATGTAAAATCTGTAATTTCTCATTTATGTCCTGATAGGAATACTTGTTGCTGATGGATAAAAAGGCACTGAACATACTTTTAGTGCTGCAACACAAAAACACTAATATAAATCCATGGAAGCAAAAGGAAAAAGAATTTAGCTAAACAATGGAAAGAAACAATTCATCATTATGCCTTATTTGACCTTTTTTAGTACAGTCAGTAAGGCAAATGAATCAATTACCCAACAAAAACCGTGCATGGGGATAGTAAATAATGAGAAAAACCTATTTTTTCTGATTGTTTGTTAAGGGAAACATATTTTAAACTTGCGTTTCAATAAATAAAACTGTGCTCTCATTTAAACATCCAACGCCAACCCAATTTGTTGCAAACTGCATGTTAACAAAAGGCAATCTGACATTTAAATGAAACTGCAGCCAAAACTACATTTTTGACCTTTGAACTTCATCCACACTACCTGTCAACCTGGAAGGAGGCGGTTAATGTGGGACAGCGTACAGCACAGTAAGCAATGTGACTTTGCAAGAAGTTAATTATACAAAGGCATTTTGTATAATTAACCTTAGTCGTTTTGTACAAGACAGTCAACAAAGGATGAAAGATTTCAAAATCAAACCCATCATATTTATCAGAAGAGAAAGCGTGGATTCAGAAAGTACTGCCACTTTTTGCTGTAGATTTTTTTTTCCCTTTCTGAAGCCACTATTTATAAAATAAAATAAAAAAAGAAAAGAAAGAGAATCTTTAATTAATCAGTGGGGTGGTCCCAGGTCAAAGGTGGATCTGCTGAGACAGATGGTAACACTGAATAATACAGTGAATTATAAAATGAACCAAAAATCAAAATGATCAATGAGGCACCAAGCACAGGCGTCTCTGGACAAGTCAAGTCATTTCATAGTCTGAATGTGTCGATGCAGGGACAACAACAAAACCAGCTTAAACACAAAATGTGTACAGGTGTCAAAACATGCAAGTTCAACCAAAGGGTTTTGTTGTAAGTGAAAAGTAAGAGTTAAAGTGATCACGACACAGGTCTAATTAAAAATCAACAAATTGAGATCATCAACAGCATCAGTGCTTTCAGGGTAGAAACTGATGGCTTTAGGGCTGCAACTAATGATTGTTTTAGCTGATGTTTAGTTGCATTTTATAGTTTAGTCCATAACATTTAAAAAAAAAAAAAAATTGATAGAACAGTTAGTCTTTCAAACAATCCACTTTGCCTTCAGCCCAAAACCCAAACTTTACAATCATATATGACAAAGAAACCAAAATACTAACATCCAAGAAACAGAAAACAGTGGATATTATTTTTCTTTAAAAACAGCTATTAGCAAATAATCTACAAACTGATTAATCGACTGATGCAGCTTTACACGGTTTATATCGGTGTTTGTTTATGTGTCTTTGTGTGAGTATGTGTCTATCGCACTGATTCCTACCTCAAATAAAGCTTCAGTGCACTTGTTATTGTCTTAACGTCCCAGTCCTCACTGCCAGACAGATCCACTTCATTGCTCTTCTCATCTGAATGAATCATGCAACATATCATCACTACAACATTTATTGACTGGGGAATTAACATAAAGCACAACTACATTTGCTTTTTATATTATGCATAGTCAAGGACTGTGTGTGATTTTGTGGGCAGGATAGAAAGTCCAAATATGTAGTTTAAATATGTAACTTGCAATTAGCCATACGAGGATAAAAGCAGTGCTGCAAACCTTGGGGGTCGAGTGTGGTCCCAGTGGATATGGAAGGAAGTTACAGCTTCTGTAGAGGGCTGTTACTTCTACACTCATTACAAGTTTAATTAATCCCTTACTACCTCAGTGGCTCCATAGAGACTCCAGGGCTGTGTTGTGCTGAAAATTCAGGGGACTTCATTCACACCTTAAGTAACCTCTGATGAATTACAGAGGATGTGGAGGTGCAACGTGCTAGTGAAGTGTTCTGAGTCAGACATGTACTGTACAGGGCCCGTGTCACCAAACAGACTTGGCTTTGTGGCTGGCAGGTGGTCTGTTACTGGGGAATTTATTTATTTTTTATTTCATCTATGCAGTCATTGTAGCCAGGAGGACTGTTTCTTCGGCTACTCTGGCTAGAAAATGGCCTGTCCAAATATCAACTTGTGAAAGCAAATGTTACTTTGTGAAGTGCTTGTAGGGGCGGCTGTGTCCTAGGAGCTAGAGTGGGTCTTCACCGGATGGTTGGCAGCTCAATTCCTGGCTTCTCCGGCCCACATGTTGTCCCTGAGCAAGACACTGAAGCCCCAATTGCTCCCGGTGATGTCACTGGTGTGTGAATGTGTGAGTGTGAATGGGCAAACAGTGCGAAAGAGCTTTGAGTGTGCTGCCATGAGTAGAAAAGCGCTATACTGCATAAGTACAAGACCATTTACCAAAGGTGTATGTCTGTGTGTGCAATTAATAGGGTCTGCACAAGCTTTGTGGTCTGCTCTAGAACCAACAGACCTGACTTAGTTAAATCAGAGACAAATAATTTTGGCAGTAGCAGTTGGAGTAGCACAAATTATGAGACTGCTAATCACAAAGCAGCACCAAGTTTATAAGTGTTATTCTTTATTTTACCTTTGTTAACCACATCAAGCTCTTGGGGAAATCACTGTAGGGTGTGGTGACTTTAGCATAGTGTTTAAACTTGAAAGTACAGGTCACATGTCATCCTTGTACTGTATATTCAGAAAAACATTTTGCCACACAAAACCATTACAGATGCAAGTTCTGTTATGCAGGAAAAGTTTCCTGACCTTCACACACTTTAAGGCAAATTAACAAACTGGTTTGAAAGTGAGTCCACGCAAGAGTCCCGGTGGGGAGCTAGGTTTCCTGCAATTTGAGTGAACTAACCCTTTAAAGTCATCAAGGTCAGTTTCAAAATACTGACATTATTTAATGAAAGTAGAATGTTTGGACATATTATCCAGTGTATTCATGGCCATTTATTCACTAAACCATTACATTTACAGTATGTAACATTTTTTCCACACATTTTTGTTGTAGAAATCTTCTCCAAAACTTGTCTTAATGTGGAGAGGTGCTGTCGAAGCCTCCAGTGACCCAGACTCATTGAACAGCACTGACAATTAGGCAGAGATATTAGCTTCTAAAAGGTTTTGAGAAGGACTGACCTCTCTAACTAATCAGAGATTTTCAATTATTTCTGCTTAATCAGTAATTCTTGTTGCATTCGTATTTATAGTAATTTCATAAAGACAAATATCTGAAGAGCTGAGTAGAGCGTGATGGAGCGTAGCAGATCGTAGTAGAGCGCAGTGGAGGAGGAAGAGGAAGCGCTGGGCGGAGTGGACTGATTTGGAGTTTCATGCTAGTGCTACATTAAGTTACATACTGTAGCTTTAAAAATACAGAATGTATTGAGCTAGTCTGCAATTACTAAACAGGTCAGAGGCAGAAGAGAGCTCGTTTTACAGCCTACTTCCTGTTATATTGTTGTCTGACATTTAATAGGTGTCGGTCTCTTTGTTTGTACTGTAATATGATGGGAGACTTATTTTCTGTCACTCTGTCCTCTCTGATTGGGCTCTGGCTATGTTGGTGGGTGGGAGATGAAAAGGAGGAGTCATTCTGAACACAGAGCTGAAAGTGTGCTGGTGTCTGCTGGAAACCAGAGAGCAGACAGAAAGCAATGGGAAGGACAGAGGACAAGCAAGGAGTCGAGTAAAAGAGGTTCAAGAGAAATGTGAGACATAAAGGAAATCAAGAAAAACAACTGACAGACACGGGCACATAAGAGGTCATCAAAGTGGTGTGTTGATGAAGCAAAAGCCAAAGAGCGCAAGGACGTGGACGGGGGATATAAAAGTAAATGGAAGCGAGGCAAAAATACATCCTGGCACTTGTTGCTGATAATGCTGAGTAATGATGGTCATCAGCCACTATCTTTTTAATAACGCCCCGACTGTTACATCAGCATATTCATCTAACTACAAGCAACCTAACATCATAAACACAGTGCTGGAGGATATAAATTAAAACTTTCTATGTGCGCAAATACAGACTTGAACTCACCAATCATTATTGAGAGGAGCTTCTGGACCTTGGAGCTTACCCCAACAACTCTGTACAGGCCTTGATCATTAATACCTGATAATAAGAGCAATAATAAAGCTTTACTTGTATAGTAATGTTCTTACTGAAATTGTCAAGTCTGTTACAAGGAAAATAACAAAGTAGACAATAGAAGCAAAGGCAAACAAAAACAAACAATGAATAAGGACAAAACTGTACTGTATGTATACACACACACACACACACACACAACGACCCTGAATGTGGAAAGCAGTTAAACTGATGTGATAACAATTTAAACCTGGTCTAGTGTGACACATAATCATTATGCATGCTGCCTGCAGTACCTGCCAAGCAGTCTTTTATTTTAAAATTGAGGCAAGACTGCCCCCTTGTGTACACATAAAGATAGTGCAATAATAGTAAAGACTACACTGACATTATCAGCTACTATCCACCACTTCTTATGTTAAGATATGTCAAACAAATGTAACTCTTTCAACTGAGCTTTTGCATATTCATATCTAGAGCTCACCTCTTGACTCTATGGCACTGATAGACTTCTTCACAAAACTCAAACCCATATTATCCAGTTGGGCATCAACTGCAGGTGAAGGAAAGAAAATACAGAGCATTGTACTCATAAAACTTAAATAATATCCTCCACATACAAAAAGTCTGGTACAACTAGGTACTTACTTCCTCGTTCTTTAGAAAAGGTCCTCCCAAGATGGCATCCAATCTGTAAACAAACACCTTAATGGCTTTTTTTTTTGTCTTTGATACTTAACGACTGTGATATATAGTAAAGTGTAGATATATGCAAGTATATTAAGGCCGGATACTCTATAAAATCTCAGGTGAGAGTTTAACAGAATACAGTGAGGCTATATGAGCTGAGTGTGAGTGGCAGATGATGACACAATAGAAGCAGCTGACTCACATGTTCCTTTCCACCCATGGCCAGCATCCAGAACTTGTGGTCATCCTCTGACAGCGCCTGTACTGTTAGCACTGTCCCTGGCCTGGGGGTGAGACATACCACATCAGCGTTAGGCAAAGCATTAGACATGCAGTACAGTTAGACATTAAGTGAAGTGAGTGTCAATACAAAACATACTTAACACTCCTTGAAACAAAAAAAGCACCACAAATTGAGTCCATGTCATCTCAGCTGGTTTATGAGACTTACAGTTCAATAATATGGGACCAGATATCAAGTTACTCATTATAGTCAGAATGAACATGTGGACTCCAATTTCCATACTAAAAATGGGGTATTGCTCTTCTATTAATATGACAGAACAGGGCTGGGCAGAGCGTGACAGATGCTCCCATCTAAGTGTGTGAGAGAAACACTCCAAGACCAATCCTGCTGCTCTGCCCTCAGCAATCTGACACAGAGTAACAGACAGCAAAGTCCTTGGAGCGAAGACCTTCAGGAAACTCTTAATGTGGAATATTAGAGTAAACAATTTTGTCTTCGGGCATATTGGACCTGAACTGTCGTGCAGCAAGAAAAATTTCCAAAGTAACTTTATTGCTTAGGGCTTAAAGTAAAATAAGACCGTCATTTACAAGCATAATTTCATTACACTGTACTTGAGAAACAAGGTGGTGAAAATGTACCGATCTGTTATGTCGAGTTCTAAGCAGAACCTCCTGTCCAGTGTGTCAGTTGTTTTGCGGACACAGGATTTGAGCGTGACGGATTCTGTCTCACCCTGAAAATTAAATAAATAACATTTATTATTCAGAATGTTGTATCACAGAAGTAGAATGTCAATCTGAAAGGGAGAGTTTGCATATAGTATGTGGTTGCAATCATAACAACTGTGTGGTATTAATAACCCACTGCACTGTGTTCTAAGACTCACAATCTTCCCACCAGATCTGTGGTCGAAGGTCACCATGTGCAGGATCTTCTGCTCTTTGACAAATGTGCAGTAGCGTTTGACCCAACTTGAACCAAAGGGAGGTGGCCCTAGAAAAACAAGGCACAGATGTGACACAGACAATAAGTAAGATCCACAGTAAGTGGATCATAACAATTACTTTTGCCAGGAAAAAGGATTTCCCAGGCTGACATACTGTATTCCTAACATGTAACGTGAGAGAACGAAATGTGGAGGGGCACAAAAACATATATAGTAGTCAGCAGTTTGACCAATCCACAATGTCAATGTGTGTCACATAGTGGAGCCAGTAACAAAAGAAAAACTGGACACTTTACCTGCATCACACATCAATACTGTGGCTGTTTGATCATCATTGGAATGAAAGTTTACCACTGTCCAAACCTTCCTGCTATTACATCAAATGAGCTAACGTCACAGACAACTAACACATAGTGCTAAATGCCATGTTTAAGTTATGTATATGTGTGGACATAAATCCAGTTACACATTCTTAGCAGAGCAGCTGAAGGAAAACTGTTTAAGCCTCTCCTGTTTATTACATTGGCCTGTGTATATTTGCAAAGTGACATGTATTCTTGCTTTGACTATGTTCCCTGGCTGTACTATATGTAATAAATGGAGGTCGTACGTTTTTCCTGTACATAGAGGTAGCCTTCACAACTGATAGAGCTGGTCTGTCTGTATTCTTGGGGTGTCTCACTAAACCTCTTCATCAGCTCGTACACCTCTGACCGTGCGGCATCAAATCGATTCCTTGTCTGGGAGGAAAACGGAGAAACACACACACACTTCAGGAAGTCACTTTCAGAAATTGGTTAGGTAGGATGACCATCCTAATGAAAGTCCACTGCAAATATATTTAGAGGCCAATTCACTTTTTCCACATTCCCCTGTCCAGACAAGGATGCACGCAGTTTTATTCACATTTTAACCTCCTGTCCGTATATGCAGATATTCTGGTACATGCATTGTACCTAGGAAGGTGATGAGATTTATGTCACTGGAGCGTGGCCGGCATGGGGATGCAGAAAGCATGAATTGGCCTTTAGTGGATTCCTTTGAAAACCCCATTTACAGTGTCAGTTAAATGGTTAGCAGTAGTCTAAAGTAAAACAGAAAGGAGGTTAAGACTGTAATGGCAATGCAGAATAAGTGAAGCCAAACTGGCAAAGGTATGACGTTGAGGAGTGGCTCACATATTTTCCTCAGAAGCTGATAGTGAACCAAGACAAATAAAATGTAAATATTGGACTTGGAAGCAGAGAGAGGATTATGCCAACGTCTGCATTTAACTGTAAGAACTTGGTAAGCCAAAAGTACAGCGAGTTTTAGGAGCTTTTCTTCCCAAGTGTGGTCAAAATGTTTTTTAAACTTCAGTCTGAATTTTATTACAAAATTATTTTTAGGGTCAAACACAAACAGTATACAGGTGTTTATTTTCATGGTTAGAATCATCTTTAAACAAATTAAAAATAGAACAATACAATATATATATATTCCTTACATTCTGAATATTGATCTGTAGTTCTTTTTTATAATGATCAAAGTCCTTTGCGAGTTCAAAGCCCTGGTGATAAAAGGTGAAGACTGTCTGAAAGAAGGCCAGCATCTAAAACAAATCACAAAATGGGAAAAAAACAGAGAAGAGAGTCAGCAAGTGAAAGCAAAACTCCTAACTAACCATTATGTCACATTATGACTGCTCAGTCACTTTCCAGAGAGACAGAAACCATATTGCCCTTTGCTTTTAGCTTTATCATCGCTGACATGCCACTTAGGTCAGTCACTCACTGGCTCCACACACTCAAACTTCTTTCTCTCTTGAATCTCCTGCAGTTTGCACACATAGTCAAGTGACTCCGCCTGAAAGTGCTGCCTCATGGTTTCCACCTGGAAGTCTGCCTGAAGAGGCAGAGAACACACACCAGGATGGTTACAGTTACAAACAGATGCATGGAAGCAAATAAAAAACAAAAAACAAACATTATCTTTGTGCTACAGTGGAATCTGGCAAGCTAGAGGCTCTTTTTGGTGTGGCTTTAAGCTCTTGTACTAGGCATACTGCAGTTTGTAAATCAAATAGTGATTATATTCAAGCCAATTTCTACCACCATAAATATCATGTTTATCTTTGATGGCTGCATAAGTTGTACAACATACCCTCTATCCTTTGATTCTCAATTCTGACAATGAAACCCCTCCATACAGTTTCTTTGTTTCCACAAAGATGCAGTGTTGATGCAGGTCTGATAGGAATCTGTTTTGCCACCACAGACCGTTGTGTCATAAGATTTAATGAAAACAGACTGAACAGCCTGCGTTACCAGTTTCCTCTCTGCTTGGTGTATATGATGTATGGGTAAGCCTTGCATGGCATGAAACTGAAAAGTGAGAAGTTGTTACGTTCTTTATAGTTTAAAACATTCATTTCATTGTACTAGAGCATGGCTTGTTCTACAAACTACAACAACCCGGGATGACCTTGCCAGTTCAGTACAAATGAGCATGCACTTCCTTTCCAAACAAGCCAGGCAATTTGCTGCTGCAAGGTACGTCAGTGGAAAATGCACACACCGACAGGCTTTTCAGTGAAGCTCTTCCCCATGGCACCAAAGACAAAAACCAGAGCAACCATTCCTAAACTAAACAGAATATCAGTTTCCAAACTTTTGCCTGTCATAATGAACAGGTATTCTGCATGTCACAATGTATCTGTCAGAGAGCTCAATGACATATATACCTCTTGTAGCTGTGGCTCTTTCTTTTTTGCTGACATATTCAGAAGCTTTTCCAGAGAGCTGTAGTACTTCTCGGTTTCTTTTTCATACCTTTTTTTTTCCGCCTTAAGAAGGTGCAGTGGAGAGAGAAGAAACATTATTCTTAGTGACAAGAGAATCAAACCCATATGTACGGTACAATTCATGTTCTATCATCAGCCAGATATTTTTAACAATCAGTAGGGTACAACAATGAGATCAAGCGCTGAAGTAGTATATTGGGAAAAGGAAAAACCGCCATACATTACCTTTACTATACCGAGCTGCTCTTTTCTGAACTTCTCAAGGGGTTTCATTAAGGTTTCTGTGATGTTTCTCATCTAGATAGAAAGAGATGCCACAACAACATATTCCAATATTAGTCAACAACAAACCCATTAGATCAAATTTCATGCGACACAGCCACATTTTCTAGTTTTGTTTCCAGAGAAGAATGGCAGCTGTACATGCTTTTTTTTGGCCTCCAGGTACAAGGCTTCCAGTTTACATGTCAAATTACATGTCTTTATCTTTGAAAAATGTATTAATATAGTCAATGTATTTTTCTTCACTCCTCCAGTGTGGCTGCAGGACATGTCTGTACCTGCATGCTAATCCCTCTTTTCCTTACTTTGCACTGTGACCTCATCCTACTGTGCTGAGCAGTGCATTAACCATTACGGTCTGAGCCTGTCATCTCCACATGATGCTTATAGAAGCCACAAACACTACATGTTTTACATGCATTTCTTTTGAACCAATTTCCCCAAAGTGTCACAGACCATCTTGCCTACCATTTAAATGTATGTCTTTAAATGAGGGGTATTTCTATAAAATAACATCTAGAGGAGGTCACAAATAAATTTACAGGACAAGATGATGCACATTCACAAATAGCACAGTAGTAAGTATTGTGGCACTTTAACACGTCATCATAGAGTTTCATAACCTATGGCCACAATTAAAATCAGGCGTACTTTAGGACGCTGTAACATTCTTTATATCGGATGTAGGAGTTTTGTGTTTATAAATTAGCAACCTTACCAGTGCCGCCTGATGAGCAGATTATATTTATGGGGATATGTTGTAATGGTGTGTAATGCAACCACTCCCCAGCAGGTGCTGGGACAGTTACCCTTAGACACGCACAGGGGGAGGAAGTGTTTACACTCTAACAACACTAATTTACCCCCTGAGAAACTGGCCTGCTCTGACTTCTGGATGCTACAACTGTACATTGGCAAAAAATTATATTATGAAAGCCTGTCTGGATCCCTGGTGGTTGACAGACTCAGACATTTATAGATGCAAGAACCAAATATGGGCAGCAGTATGTGTAGGCTGCTCGGAACACACACACACACACACACACACACACACACACACACACACAGTTAAACAATTTAAGTGCAATACACCACACAGACACACACACACACACGACAGACAGACACACAGGTATTATTCTTGGCTTTCAAGCAGGTTCAGACCAGTTGTTCTCACCATCAGCTCTCGTTGGTCTTCTAGGTTTCTGAGGAATGCGGCGAACTCTTGTAAAGACTCATCTGAAGAAAAAGACAATCAAACATAATAAAATGCAATGATTCTGCCTGACTCTCTCTCTCTCTCTCTCTCTCACACACACACACACACACACACACATGCAGCCTAAAACACATGATTAGCAGTTGTTCCCACCACAGGTTCATACCAAAAACTGCTCTTAATTTGCTGGTAGAGAAAGAACTACAAACAAACACATACAGTGTCTGTCTGTGTGGTGGTAACAAAACTAGTAGTTAGTTTCCACCATGTAACAAGGCAAACCCACACTTACCAATGCATTTCTCATCATCTGTCTTTGCATCACCGATGTACTCAAACTTAAATTCTCCAAGGCACTGGGCAAACTTCCGCTGTGCCATCGCAAGTTCTAAAACACAATGTGGAATAAAAAAAATAAACATTTTAAAGCAGGAAATCTAAAAGGAAACACATTTGTAATTAAGATCAAGTAATTAGGATCTACCAATTAAACTGATACATTTCTCTACATTTTTCATGCATAATTTGTTTATGAAAGCTGAAGGTTGAGATAAATCAAATCAAATTTATTTATACAGCACTTTAAAACAACATCCAGCTGACCAAAGTACTTTACATTGGAAAATAAAATCACAATAAATGACTAAAATAAAGTAAAAGAGCAGTGCAAATAAAAATAAAACAGCACAATAACAAACACACATAACATACGTTCAATAAATTAAAATTAAATTAAAAGGAGTTAAAAGGAATGCATCAAGCCCTACTGTGTATTAAAAGCCAAGCCAAATAAATAAGTTTTAAGCAATAATTTGAAAGTAATGAGGTCAGTAGATGACCTAACATTAAAAGGTAGACTATTCCATAATTTAGGGGCTGCAACAATAAAAGCACAGTCACCCAAGCGTTTATATCTAAGACAAGAAGAGAAGAAAGACATTTTTAAAAAAGGCTGAAGGGAAGAGGCAGTGTGAGTAATGTCAATGTGTTGAGAGGTTGGAAAATGTCAGAACATAAAATGTAAAGTGTAATTATTATAAAAGATATTTAAAAAACTGAATGGAAGAACCAATAGTCAAATGTCTTGAGATCAGTTTAATGTCAGTGTCTATTGCTGAAGGTGCATTTCTGTCTATCCCTGCATAAATGCGACAACTTCGGCTTTTGAGATGTGGACGAATGCTTTTTAAATCCACCCTCTGTCACACACCCCTGCACATCAGTAAACACAGCAAAACAAATCTATTTCCAAACAGTGAAGAGATTCCCCAAAGTGGAATCTCTGACCCACGAGAGTCCTCTAGGGAACCAAGACAGAATGCAGCAAGCGTATTTTAGGACTGTACTTACAAGCAGTATGCTAAGGAGCAGACTGTACTGAGCATCTGTAAGTGATACAAAGGCACAAGACAGCTAGCTACAGTACAACCAGTGGTTACAACTAATTATTTTTATTAATGATCAATCTCAGTTTAATTAATTTAGTGATTACGAAACATCACAATTTACTAACGCCCAAGTGATGTCTACAAATTGTTTACTAGATCTGACTAACAGTAAAAAAAAAATGTCTGACAAAACTAAATCCCAGACATTAAACAATGAGAAATATAAACATGGTAATATTTTTTCCATATTGTTGCAGTTGATGTTTAAAAATAATGAGTACTGGGCTACATTGACATCAGACCAGTGTGTTGCTTGTCAGGAAATCAGAGAGGGGTTTTTGGTTTTTTTTGGCCAATGTGTTCCTTGTTTTGGAAAAAGCCAACCAAGATCCAACTGTGGTGACTAACTCAACTCTCCTAGTGACCGAGGCACGAGGAGAAGCGTGCTAACTGTAAACACGATTATTTGCTAATGTTAGGAGCATTTTAAAATGCTAAAGGTTACATGCTAAACATCAGGATCCAACTACAGACCATGCATGCTAACAAGCCAACTCTAGCCATGTCAGCATGTTACCTTCTAAACAAGGCCGCAATGTCCATGACCTTCAAAGCAGTCATGCTTGGTAAAGGCAGCAGAAGCCATCCAATATTCTCCTAAGAATGTTCATAATCTTAAAAATTACAGTACCTAGACCCTGCAAATACATTTGGTTTGCACAGATTATAATAAAACAATCACTGTCACTTTTAAAAGTCATTTAAGCCGTTTTGCTGTTTCTACTCATGTCAGCCCTGCTGCTCTGGGTAGTGTGTACAGGGCCTAAAGTCCAAACATGTGAGAGGTGTTGGACAATGTCTGCCTGAGCCTGGCACGAAGGGCATAGCTTCTGCCTCAGTTTATTTAAAATGGTTTGAAATTCACTGCTGGTCGCTCCACAGCTCAGTCTTAAATCTATACAATCCCCAAAGTACACAAGGAAACACACGTCAAACAAAACACCTGTGGTCGACTCCTTTGGCCAATTTGTCTAACTACAGGAAGACAAGAGGTTCACACCAGACAATAGGACAGCTTAGGTACTGCAGCATTTACAACTGTTTGTTCTTTGTATAGCACTTGGAGGAAATGTTTTCCCCGATTCTTGTAGGTGAGGTAATTGTTTTTAAGAAATTAAAAGTCAAAACAGCAAAAGAAAAACAAAGAAGCTGTCTTACTAGCAAAATCAGGGTCTCTTATCTACCCCTCAACAATTCAGCAAATGTAATGTAATAATGTTTATAGTTCATAGCTCATTTCTTGGCTCATGAACTTGTACAAGACGGTGCACAGATCTAACTTTACTACATCATTAATCAGGACAAGAGGGTCCCCATTTGTCCTTTGCTCAGACACCACACAGACATGGTAAACAACATTAAGAGTCTAACAAATAACAGCAGAAAAGCATCAAGACTGTATCTTGGTGAGGTTAGAAGGGATGTGGGGGTGAGTTTTATGAGATGATTTACTGTCAGCTTTAATTCTGACTGAGTTACATAAGCTTAGAATAAAAATCTTACATTATAAATTCGTGTCAATCACACCAAATAATTCTGTAGCTCACTAAAAAACTAGTAATTCACTAAAAGCTTCTCACTTTTTTTGGCCAAAATGTTTGTTGGGTTCCAGGTAATATTTTCAAAGTAAAGGTATGGGAAATGCAAGTCTGTCTGGCCATTATTTTGGGAGAACACAATACTTATACGCTGAACATGGCTATTTTTCCCAGAGCGCCAGTAAATCTCAAGGGAATCTAAGCCACACAGACAGCTACAGCCCAGAACAAGGTGTTCAGGTCCATAAAAGGTAACTGTGGTCACGGTGGTCTGGCCAATAGACGTCATTTTGCTGCACATGAAATTACTGCAGATGACAAACAAGCCTGTGAAGTCAAGTTAAAGAGAGCATTCAGGAGTTTTACTGGTACCTTATGCCTGTACTAGAATTAAAGTAAAGACAGATGACATACTCCAAGTCCTCTATTAGAAACTGTATCAGCTGCAGCTAATATTCGACAAGATGTTCAACACTTTGCCAATTAGTCAATCAAAAGAAAATTAATGTGGAAGTATTTTGATAATCAATGACTCAATTGAATTGCCAAAACATTGTAGGTTATAGCTTCTCATGTAAGAGGGTTTGCTGCTTTTCATTACCAAGTTAAAGAGTGAGGTTCACTATACTGGTGACCTACAAAGCTCATTTGAGTAGTGAGACAAAGCCAAACTAAAAACCTTTTCATCCCTGCTAACACAGCTGACAGCAAGTGCTTCCTCTGACACGGCTGATTAAGAGCATTCTGGCATTTGTGTTGGGTTAAGAAACATAATACTACTCCCAATTTCTTTAACTCTTATCTCTGAACTACTTTTGGTTGGAATTGCCAATGCTTCCCCAGGTGCCTCAACTTTCACAGCGCTCAACATTCCCCAAAGCTTAACGCAACTTGTGGTTTTCCATTACTACACCCCATCTCAGTGATATGATCTTCAGGAAAAAAAAAAACATTTACTTGTTACTAAAACTGCTCTAACTGAAGTGTTCAAATAGTGGAGCTGGCTCTCAATAACAGATTGCATTTTAGTTTCAAGTAGGTAAAACACCTTGATACATTAAGCTCAAATAAATCCCTTATTCAATCTTTCATTCACAGTGTCTGTTTGAGCAACAACTGCAAAATGTAATATTTGCGGGTGGTGCTGACAACAAAGGGGGAATGAGAAGTTCTTTCTTTACATATTTATTACCCACCACCCAACAGGTTAAAGTGAGATCTTGTGGAAGCACGTCTTACACCTCAGCCTACCGCCAGTGTTACACCGTGTTCTGTGACCTGTAGCAGTTCAACAAGTTAATCACCAGTGCACGGTGCATGCAAAAAAGCTGCTATTTATGTAACTGACATTCACTAAAGGATAATGTTGACTTAATCTTACTTTTATTGTACTGCTTTTCCTTTACACCCCAGAGAGGAGCAAAAGCAGTAAAACAAAGAGTGAGGACAGTGTTAATGAATGGCCCAGGGCAGTGATAAACTATGCAGCGAAAGCCCTACAACTCCTCAACACAGCAGAATGTCCAGGGTTTAGGTTTGATGGTTAATCACAGTTTCTATTACTCCATGTCATACTTGTCTGGTGTCTGGTCCTTATTACTAATTGTGTTATTAACATGATTAGAAAAAGCTAGATTCCTAAACATTAAAATCTTTTGTTACACTAACCTGTTTAATTTAGAAACTACTTAAACAGATTCCATAAGAGATTTGAAAGGATTCAGATTCAGTAAGTGGATTTGGAACTGGATCGGAGTTGTTGAAATGCAAAATCAAATCCAAGCCCTACTCATTAGCCTTTACCCATGTAGTGATCCTTGGATCCAGGCCTGAAGCTAAAAGTCACCAGGTTTGTGCAGTCGGAGCCTCAAAGCTTTAAAAAAAAGTCTGCCAGAAGAACGTGGCATTAAATAATACTGTTTAAAATCACCTTAAAAAACAATGCATCATAACACAAATCTAAATTCCCCCTCACTACTGACTCTTATTTATTTAACCTTTATTTATCTAAGGAAAAATTCCTTGAAGTCAAGGACCTCTTTTAGAAGGGCAACTTGGCACTGGAGCCCATGTTGGTCAACAACAGAACTCAAATTACCCCAGAACACGCACAAATTGCTGGGTGGAAAGTTTGGTGGGTTCCTCCACAAGATGAAAACATGTTTTGACAACATTATAGTGGAACCTTAACACAACATGCAAAGCCTCAACACGCTCTGTAGTGGCTGATATAGGGTCAGGACAGTGTCAAATGTCATTGCATTGTATAAGATCACGCGAGTGTGATGGTAAAAATTGATGTGACTAGTGTTGTCACGATACCAAAATTTTGGTACCGGTACCGGTACCAAAATATATTTCGATACTTTCGATACTTTTGGATAGTTTTTCAGATAAAAAGA